AAGGGGTGCAGACTCAGGTGCCCTGGAGGAAAGACAATCAGAGAATATGCAACAAAGATCCCTCTCCGAGTCCGCAAGTGCCCTCAAGTGAGAGAACACTTCGAGAAACCCTTGAGCTGGTCCCCACACTCAAGCTTTGACCAAGTTCCCCACTGACAAGTGTTTTGTTACAACACCCTCCCCCCAAACTCACAGAGGTTCCCATGCTGAGAAAGGAGGGAGAGGCAGAGCTAGGGCAAGTGGTAGGAAGAAGCACCCGCAGGGGAGCTCACCAGAAGATAAACACCAGATCCTCCTTCTTGCTCTCCTTGGTCTCATAGGTTGCATCATAGAGGGCATAGCGGCAGTCCTTGTCTGGCAGCATCTTGACAAAGGTGGCGTAGGGGTCGTCTACAGTCTGGCCCACATCACCTACCAGGATCTCCTTGCCCTCCTCCAGGATGATGTTCTTCTTGTCCTCGCTCAGGCAGAAGAGTACCGCCTTCTTGCGCTTCTTCACCTCCTCTGGTGTTGAGGACTTGCGCACCTTCATGTCATTGAACACTTTGATGACACCGTCAGAGACCGCCACGCCGGAGGCCTAGGGACGAGCCACATATACTTCATAAAAGAAAGACTTTGGGACTCCCCCTGAAGTCCCTCCTTTGTAATCTTAAGAGATCCATCTTGGATGCCAACAAGTCCTCCACCAAGAGATCATCAATTCCCCTTCCCAAGCCAAGTGTCACTATTTTCCCACCCAAGCCACTGTCCAAGGACCAAATGAGGAAACCCTAGAATGGCAAAGAAACCTCTAATCATCTAATTCAACATCATTCTTCCTCACCCAACATCTTTACAGCCTAGAAACTAAGGACCTGTAAGGAGCAGAACCTTGGCTTTGATGTGAGCCCAGAATTAAAAGAATCCACAGGCTACTGACTCGTTTCGTTTTTTTTTTAAGATTTTATTTATTTATTGAGAGAGAGAGAATGAGAGAGAGCACATGAGAGGGGTTAGGGTCAGAGGGAGAAGCAGACTCCCTGCCGAGCAGGGAGCCCGATGCGGGACTCGATCCAGGGACTCCAGGATCACGACCTGAGCTGAAGGCAGTTGCTTAACCAACTGAGCCACCCAGGCACCCTACTGACTCGTTTCTTACAGTACTGCATCTCAGCTTTTGGATAACAGTGCTGACTCAAAACTTCACAGATAGGAAAGAGAGACTCAAAGCACCCAGGTTATAACCACCTCTTCTGGAAGGAGAACCAGGACCCCACAATGGTAGACAAGACACCAACGAGTTTAACAGTTCCCGTTAAGTCCATCAGAACTACTCAGTGCAGTTGTTCACAAACCACCCTCTTTGCTGGGGTCTTCTTCAAGGCAAGAATCACAATCCCTAATTAAAGCCCTAACCCATTAACTCCCCGTCCTCCGCGGAAAATGTAGGACCCAAAGGTCGCTGACATAAGTTAGCAGGTCAAAACCAAATACCCACGGTCCTCGAGAGCTCTTTAAACGTCTGTTTTGGGTCGCGTTGGGGGGGGGGAACCCTAGCCAGGAGGGGGGGCTACAGTCCGCAGTGAAATCTGCCGCGCCCCCCGCTCCCGGAACTGCAGAGGAAGCCGGCCACGTGACTCAGCCGCTTCCGGAGTAGGCGGGGGGAAAAGCGCTCGCCCGGGCCCGGCCCCGTCCGGGAGAAAGCAGTACCCGGGGGCAGTAGCACCCCAGAGCCTCAACCCCGAGGAATCGCCTTTACCGACAGGCGCATCAGCCCCCTCCGCTGCCGGCCGGGGCCTGGACGAGTTACACAACCTTCAGTTCTCGTAGCCCTGGGGCCGAACACAGGAGGCGGGGTGGTTTCCGGGCGGCGCCTGCCTGGGTCACTTCCCTAAACTCGGCTCCACCCTCAGGCCCCATCCGGGAAAGCCGAAGGCCCCGCTTGTCCAGGGCTTCGGCCCAGCGGCGGGGGCCTGAGCGTGTGCGCACGCGCCGGCCGACTGTGCCGTTCCAGCCTTTGCCGGATGTACAGAGCAGAGAACCCAGATCGCTTTGTGGGTTCCCTCGCAGGGCCGTGACCTCCGCGGTGCAAACCCGCAGCTCCGGGTGGCGCGGTGCAAGCCCTTAATCCCCAGCGCTAGCACTCGGACCCCTCCGCCCCCGCATCCCCGTTGGCCCTCCGCCCCCGCCCCTCCTGGGCGCAGACATCCCTGCCACCTGCTCTCTACAGACCCGCCAGCCGAGGGAGGGTGACGCGGAGACAGGAACAGCCCTTGGGTGGGGCGCGCGCGCCGAGACCGCTCGCGCGCTTTTCCCTCGCCGCCCCCGGGCCGGGTTCGGATGCCGCGTGCTCCCGTAGAACGCGCGCCCCCGTGAACCGACTTGCCTCAGCGCGCGCCACCGGCTGCTCCGCGAGGGGCGGGCGCGCGCGCGCCACGGACCCCTCCCCCATAGCCGGTCTCCGCGCGGGCGCAGCAGCGCGGTGGGGGAGGGGAAGGGAGTCCAGGGGGCGCACGAGCGACGGCCGAGCCAGCCCTCTCCAGCGCCCGCGGGCGCGCACGCGCGTCCCAACGCCGCCCGCCCCTCAGCCCGAGACCCTCATCCCGCCTGGGGCGCTGGGGGAGGGGGTGCCGACGTCGCTCCACCGTTCCCTCCCCTGCACGCAGACGACCGACTCGCAGCCCCCTCCCGTCAGTCGCCAAGGCCTGCTGCTCACCATGTTTCCGGAAGCGAAAGGGAGATAGCAAGGAGAGTCAGAAAAGATGAGAGCCGCTGCAGCTGCTGCCGGGATCCGACTGAACGCGGCCTCTCCCGGCCCCTTCCGTTTAGTATGAGCCGCACAATGAGGGGCGGGGCGGGCTTCCGGCGCTCCCCCCATGGGCCGACGGGAAATGAAGTCCAGGGGTCCTGCGCCGTCCTCGGGCTCACTGGGTAACAGAGTCTTTTTCGCCAGCCGGCCTCCCAGCGCCACATTACATGCTGGGAAATGTAGTCCGAGACAACCAGGAGGGACTAGAGCCATGGCACGGAGAGCGCGCCCATTGGTCGAATTTTCCAGGAAACGCTCAGCTGAGCAAAGGCCCCCCGCGCTAGGTAATGTGACCCAAAAATGAGCCCTCGACCTCGCCGTTCTTCAGCCGCGGCGAAACTGTTTCCTAAGATCCATTTTGGCAGGTTCTGGTCTGAAAATTCCGAGTTTAGTGTTTTGCTTTTCTGAATTGAAGCAACTATTTATTGGCCTGGAATGTAGTCCTAGATAGAGCAAGGAGAATCGCAAGTGTAAAGTGTCTTCAACCCGATAAACAATTCATTGAGTACCCTTCATATGCAAAGCCACTCGTCTCCTGAGAAAAGGCCATATGCAACTTCAGTAAAATTAGAGTAAGAGGAAAAAACACAAGAGAAAGGCTACAAGGAAGTCTTTAAAAGAGCTTTGTCCTTGTTTCAAAGATGTCTGGCAAATTCACGAAAAATGGAGAAGGGCAGGGGGTTGTGCGATCAATTCAAAGATTGTGTGCCTTTTACTAAACACACTGAAAAGAAGAAATAGATATTAAATCAGACTTGAATCATGTTCTCGACTGGCTAGCCAGGCATACAGTTAACTTAAAACCCGGAAAAATTAAGACACAGCTCTGTGTTAGCCTAAGTTTCAAAAAAAGAAACGGGTGGGGACTACGGGAAGTTTTCGTTGGCCTCGCACTACGACCAAGGCCTTAGGCTCTGCCGAAAGACACTACAGAGTCGCAAACAAGGGAACTGCGAGTATCGGTCCCATCAGCTGAATAGTGTAAATGAAGAGCTGGAAGCCTGGTCTTCAAGACTGGGAGGGCATCGCAGGGCATGCCGGGGATTGTAGTCAGGGACATCCCGCTGCACCGCCCACCAACCGAGTTCCCGGGAGCCCCAGGTGGAGGCCGCCGCTCGACCCACAGCCGGGTAAGCGACCCTGCCAGAAAAGGAGACTGGCTCCCCTTTTTTCAAGCCTCGGAGTTTCCAAGAGTAACGAGGAGGGGAAGAGAGACTTCGAAGTTACCCTGGAGACACTCTCCCGCCCGCCCCTAGCCACGGGATGCCCTAGATGTCCTTATTAGGACAAGAGACTGGAGGGGGTGGGGCCAACCCGAACGCCCGCTCGAGGCTCCTTATAAGGCAGGCTCAGGAGGGAGGCGGGAGTTCGAAGCTGGCTCAGTGGGGGGTGGGGGGGCGGGGGCGGGTTGGCTGTTGGGCGGAGTCTGGAGGGGCGGGCCTGGAGCTGCAGTTCCCGCCTCTCCGCTCCTCGAAGGCCCCAGACTAGCTCCTCGCGACTTCCGTAAAACAGCTGGGGGAGAATGTAACTCCCTGGCGAGATCCTGGAGCCGAACTCGGCTGTACGTGTCCCTCAACTTGAGACCCTTCTGCATAATCCTAGACCTAAACCTCCAAATGACTATGTGTTCTCCCTTTCCACCTTCGTCCGGGCTCTTACCGCCCCTGAATCTAGCCACGTGCCCATCTCAGACCCCCCCTACCCGCCCTCTGGCCCAGCACCTCCCATTTGTCCCCCTTCTACTTGTCCTCTGTTCCCTCCGTCTTCCTAGCTTTGGCCTTCCCTGAATGTCCCCGACTTCGCGCCCCTCCTCCACTGCTGGATCTCCACGCCCCGCTCCCACCACCCCGGCTCGGGATCACCTTTTCTTCAGAGAGTCCTTTAGGTCCTCCTACATTACCTTTGTACCTTCATCCCCAGTACCCCTTTCTAGATGTCCCTCCTACAAATATACCTGCACTCTTCCCCCCCCCCCACACCCCCACCTCTTGGGCTTTTCAGAAGCCCAGTCGCTCTCCAGCATCCTCAGCAAAGGTGAGACTGAAACTGACGGCCTCAGGTTCCTTGAGGCTAAGCACCACCCCCAGCCAGCCCTCCCAGCCACACGGGGGCGCTGTCGGCTTTCTGTCCCGCACAAAGAGGACCCCGCTCTCGAATCTGGGATGGGAGGAAGGGGCGGATCAAGGCTGGGGTGGGGGGGTCTGGGTGGGGCCAGTCCAAAAGACTGGTTTGGGCCGGGAGGGGCGAGAGGGTGAAGGCCGGAGAGAAAGTGCTCGGCACCGACCACTTAGAGTAGTGCGGGGGCGGGGAGGGCAGCAGGAGGCTGTTCTCTAGTTAGTGCCCCGCGTGGGGCCACGTGATTGGAGAGGTCCCGCCCTCACCCTCCCGAGCCAGGTGTTCGAATCCCGTCTCCAGAACTGGCGGCGTCCCAGTCGGGTCGGCGCGAGGCGCCAGAGGACCCGCCCTGAGGCTCATGGCAGCGCCGGTCCGCCTGGGCCGGAAACGCCCGCTGCCCGTTTGCCCCAACCCGCTCTTCGTACGCTGGCTAACCGAATGGCGGGACGAGGCAGCCAGTAGGGGGCGCCGCACGCAATTCGTGTTTCAGAAGGTGGGTCCCGGCTCGACGCGGACAGGTGCGGGCGGAGCCAGACAACCAGGCCCGCCCTGACCCAGTATGGTACCCCTGCCCCCGCCAGGCCCTGCGCTCCCTCCGGCGGTACCCACTGCCTCTGCGCAGCGGCAAGGAAGCTAAGATCCTACAGCACTTCGGAGACAGGCTCTGCCGTATGCTGGACCAGCGGCTGCAGCAGCACAAAGCATCAGGCGGTGAGCGCTAGAGTCAGGGTCGGTGGTCCCCTGAGCCTCCCCCAGGCGCAGCCTCCATAACCACCTGGGATACCTTAGCTTCAGGCTCCCCACTCACGCCCAAGTTGCTGTTTGACCTCAGGCTAGTGGCTGGCTTGCCGAATCTCACCCCTCTCACCTACCACGGGAGCTGGCAGCGTTCCAGACCTTCCCGCCTGCTGGATTCCGTGGCATTGACTCTCTTCTGCTCCCGCAGGTGACCATGACCCGAGTTCACCATCTGGAGAGAAGAGTCCAGCCCGGGAAGGGCCCCTTGCCAGAGTCCAGGACTCTTCCAAGCCAGTGAGAAGTGGGCGAGGGCAGTGAAAAGGAAAGTGGGAGCACCGGGAGTAAGATTTTCTGGCTTGGGGGACTTGGCAGGCCTGGGTCCAGATCTGCCACCAGTGAGGCCTGGCTTTGGGCAAATGACTAACTCTGGTATTTAGTTTTCTTCTCTGTAGATGGAGATATTGAATGATAATAGAGTCAGATGAGAGTTCCACGACCGGGCTGTTTAAGGGGCCAAGCCCAGTAAGTCGTGAGGATTGCTATTATTGGCTTTTCTTGCCTTACCACCTCTGTTCTGCAGCCAATGGTAGAACTGAGGCTGGGTCAGGCAGATTACACCCCTCGCCCCACTCCCACCCCTGCAACCCTCTCGCCATCTCAGCCCAGCTTTACAGGTCGTCTCATCATCTGACCCATTTTCCAGGTAGGGAAACCGAGAGGCGGCTGGGGGACTTGTTCAGGGCCATGTAGCCTGCCGAGACAGAACCCGACCCTCAGCCCTGCCAGGGATTCAGTCCACGATGGCTGATTGGTTTCTGTGTCCAAAGCCTCAGTGTATCTTTCAGATTCCAGCCCACCCCAAGGCAGGGGCCTCGGGCAGCTACTGGCCGGCTCGGCACTCGGGCGCACGCGGGGTACTGCTGCTGCTCTACAGGGAGCACCTGGTGAGCACGTGGCCAACCCAGGAGTCAGGAGCACCCAGGCACTGGGGCCTGAGGCTCCTGGAAGAGGCCGGCCCCAGCACTGACCCTCCCTTGGTTACATTTCTGCCTTGGTTACAGAATCCTAGTGGCCACAGCTTCCTAACCAAGGAGGAGCTGCTGCAGAGGTGTGCCCAGAAAGCTCCCAGGGTGAGCCCTGAGGTGGGAGAGGATGGAGCCGAGTGAAAGAATGGAGCTGTGGATCAGACCCTAAGCCCACCAGACACTTCTTGGGAGCAAGCAGTGGTTTGGGGCCCAGGGAGTTGGACTTGTGGTAGCACCAGGAACTTTCTAAGGGTCTCCTCCCCTATGGACAGGTGGCCCCTGGGAGTACTCGACCCTGGCCAGCCCTCCGCTCCCTCCTCCACAGGAACCTGGTTCTCAGGACACACCGGCCAGCCAGGTGGGGTCAACTACAGGGGCAGGCAGTGTGTGGCGGGGGAGAGAACATGCATGACGTTCTGAGTGGGGCCCTACAGTCACCCAGCAAATTGCAGGCCTCGTGCTGTTGAGATGGGTGTGGGAAGGGAGGCCTTACTCCCAGGAGCCCATACTGTGGGAGTACCAAGAGAATCTGAGAGACCAAGCAGTAGGTAGGGGGCAGGAGAGGGTGCCACAGGTTGTTGGAAGAGCAGAACAGCTTTGCTGAGGACACAGCGTTTGGACACGTCTTAGAATTTAGGAGGGAGAGATGCAGGAGCAGCACTCCAGAGAGGAGGGAAAGGTGATCTGAGATGTGCTTGTTGCAGACTGAGAAATGTCCCTGGGCAGGTCCAAAGGAGGCTGATCTGAGGAGGGAGAACACAGCCTGGGGGTGACTTGTTTGTGCAAGGGTCGCCAAGGCTGGTGAGACCAGCCGAGCTAGGGGCAGGCAGGAGAGCCTGCCAGGTGCGAGTGAAAGAGGGAGATCTGTGTTCATCTACCAGGTACTCACTGACTCCGGAGGGTCTGGAGCTGGCCCAGAAGCTGGCTGAGTCAGAGGGCCTGAGCTCACTGAATGTGGACATTGGGCCAGAGCAGCCCCCTGGGGAGGAGCCAGAAGTGCCAGGAGCAGCCTCTGCTGAGCTGTGAGGAGGAGGGGGAGGGGCATGACGGGAGCAAAAGGGGTCCCAGAAATGAGGCCAGCCCTGTCTCCATCATCTACAGCTGAGCTGCCCCACCCACTGTGGGTTGCGGGGGTCGGGGGGGTAACTGCCTGACACTGATGTTCTGGCCTCAGACACACCAACACCCCCTCCCCCTTGTAGGGGCACCAGCGAAGGGAGTGTCCAGCAGCCGCCACTGGCGCTTGGGCCTGGAGAGTACAGGGTGCTCTTGTGTGTGGACGTTGGCGAAGCCAAGGGGTGAGTGGGGGCGGGGAGCAAAGGAGAGGATGCTGGGGCGGGGGGATGACAGGGGCCTCCCCTGATCTGGGCCTCCTGTCTCACAGCTCCAGGGCGGGGCACAGGCCAGAGCTGCTCCTTGAGCTACAGCGGCTGCATGTGACCCACACGGTGCGCAGGCTACACGTCGGGGACTTTGTGTGGGTGGCTCAAGAGACCAGGCCCAGAGACCCAGGTAAGGGGGGTGGACAGAGGGCGGGTATCAGAGGCAGGGCCTGGTGGGTCGGGGAGGACTCGAGCCAGCAGAACCTTTCTTGGCCTCCCGGCAGCAAGACCTGGGGAGCTCGTCCTGGACCACATTGTGGAGCGCAAGCGGCTGGACGACCTGTGTAGCAGCATCATAGATGGCCGCTTCCACGAGCAGAAGGTTCCTAGACTGGCCTCGCCGTGCTCCCCGTTCCCTGTCTGCCCTAGGGCTCCTCCGCGGCCCAGAGGTGTCCACGGCACTTCAGGCTGGCCTCAAGGCAGAGCTCCCATGGCCACACCCCCGTTAGAGCTGCACCCAGGCAGCCCCAAGATCAGACCCCTCAGGGCCCCTGCAGGTGCACAGTAGGTGCGCAGGGTGACTGGGCTGGACTGAGCAGCATAGTCGAGACCCCTTGGGTGGCCAGGCCCTCCAATCTGGGATAAGCAAGACCCAGGCCTCAGTGTAGGTACTGGCTGCTGGGCTGACCATATAGTCATGCCATGTGTAGGCCAAGAGAGGTTTGGAGAACGGACATCATTCAGAGATGGTGTGAGGCTTTTCCGCACAACGGTAATAACAGTGTGAGCAAAGGTGGAGGCCCTCTGAAACAGACAGAGAAGCTAGGGAGGATGAGGAGGTGGCTTGGTAGGGCCAGGGTCCCGTGATGATTTTGAATGTGACACAATGGACAGCTGGCCCATGGGCCTCCAGGCCTGACCCCCCTGCCTGCCACCCCAGTTCCGGCTGAAGCGTTGCGGCCTGGGCCACCGCGTGTACCTGGTGGAGGAGCATGGCTCAGCGGACCACCTCAGCCTTCCTGAGAGCACGCTGCTGCAGGCTGTCACCAACACTCAGGTGAGGCAGGAGGGCCAGGCCAGGCTGGTAGGGACCCCACGGTCCATGGCTCCAGCCAGGAGTCCCCTTCCTCTCTTGGGTGGGTTCCTCTTCCCCAGGTCATCGATGGCTTCTTTGTGAAGCGCACGGCGGACATTAAGGAGTCAGCTGCCTATCTGGCCCTCTTGACTCGGGGCCTGCAGAGACTCTACCAGGTGAGCAGGCCCTCGTGTCCCTGGGCCCTATGCTCCCCATGAGGAAGTGAAGTGAGCAAGAGCCCTGTTTTTCAGGCTGGCCCACGGAGGCCTAGGATTGGGCCAGGACTTGCTGGGGCTGGTCCCCGAGAGCTCTGTCCCGGCCTCAGTTCCCTCTTCCCTCAGGGCCATACCCTCCGCAGTCGCCCCTGGGGACCCTCAGGGGACCCTGAATCAAGGCCTGGGTCCTCCCCAAATCCTCTCTGCTCACTCCTCACCTTCAGTGACTTCAACACAGGAGCCATCAAGAACAAGGTACTGCCTCCACCCAGTGCCTCCTTATGCGGCCCAGCCCCGGCCCACTCCTGATACGGTCCTCCCCCATCCCAGGCCCAGTCTGTGCGGGAGGTGTTCATCCGGCAGCTGATGCAGGTGCGCGGGGTGAGTGGGGAGAAGGCAGCAGCCATAGTGGACCAGTACGGCACCCCTGCCAGGTAGGCCCCCACAGAGCTCCTCGGGGGCCCTCTGCCCCTGCCCTGCCTGCGTGGAATTCAGCTATACCTATGCTTTGTGGAGGGGTTTGGCCCTGCCAGGGCTGGACAGGCCCGACTGAGGTCACAGAGGTCACGTGGTAGGGCAGACAGAGCCAGCTCGGACCAGACGGACCAGACAGGATCTCAGCCACTAAGGGAGGCTACAGGAGGGAGGGGGACCTGCCGCCTGGTGCAGCAGAGAAGGCTTCTGGAGGAGGGGGCTGGGCCATGAAGACGGGGCCAAGCATAGCCGTACCTGGAGACTGGAGAACGTTTGCCGCTGCATGAAGGGAGGGTGAGCTGGATGGAATAGGGCCCTGAATGCCAGACTCAGGAGGGCGGCAGCGGTCCCGACTCCCCTACCTCAAGCTGACCCCTTCTGCCTGTCTGCCCTGATGGTGGCCCAGCCACCCAGAGCGGGCCAGCTGTGTGCTATTGTCAAGCTTTAGAAACTCAAACTCTCCACCCCACCCCCAGCCTACTGGCCGCCTATGACGCCTGTGCCACCCCCAAGGAACAGGACATGCTGCTGAGCACCGTCAAGTGTGGCCAACTGCAGAGGTGACGGCAAGGAAAAGAGCCCAGAGGGAGTGGCTGAGGCTGGGGTGCTCTGGCCCACGGCCTGACCCTCACCTGCCTCTCTCTTTGTGCAGGAATCTGGGGCCCGCTCTGAGCAGGACCTTCTCCCAACTCTACTGCTGCTATGGCCCCCTGACCTGAGCTGTGCCACGAGGCTGACTCCACCTCCCCCCCCCCTTCACAGGCTAGCCAGCCTTTTAATCAGAATCTGTTGGGCTACAATAAAAATAGAAGTATTTGCAGCTTTATGTATTATGGAGGTGATGCCATGCCCCAGCGGCCTTGTGAAGTATCCAGGTGGGAACTGGGGAGACCAGCAGGTCCAGTGGTTTTTAAACTGAGCTCCTCAGGACTCGGGTTCCCTGGGGGAGCATTGATACCATCCAGGGAGATGGAGTCAGTGAGGCGTTGTGACTTTGAATCTAGTTTATGTCATCAGAGTTCCTGATCAAATAACATTTCCTTTGATAACAGGTTCTGTATTTTGGAAAAGAAATGTTTGGAAAGCGCTCATAGTCTTAACTGCCTCGTTTTATGAATTAGAAAACTGAGGCCCAGGAAGCTACTAGGGTTTAGCCAAATTGAGGACAAGCTGGAATTGAAACCCAAGGCCTCCACTGTCTACCATGGGGCTTCCTAGGTCCCCCACAAACCAGTCAAACCCCAATTCCTGGGCTGGGTGCTGGAGTCTGCAGCCTTCTTACATCCCTTGTCAAAGTGATTCTGATGCGCATGGTATGTGGACCAATCCCAGCCTTGGGGATGCAGTTCCCAGCTCCTACTATGGCGCCCCCTGAGCCTGGACAGAGACATCCCCGCCTTTAGGTGATTGGCCCGCCTCCCACAGCCTGGCCCCTTTCCCCGTCCAGGGTTCACTACAGCGTTACCCACCCACCTCAGCCACCAGGACTCCTTCTTTCTCCCTTTATTGCCTTTCTCTTTCTACTCTTCACAACAGCATCTGCCCTTGCAGCGAGCACAGTCATCCCTGAGCCCCAAGCTCTTCGGCTGCAGGAAGCCTCTCCCTCCCTGAGGGCTCCCCACCCACTCCTCAGAAAGTGTAGGCCCCCACGAAGACGGTGAGTCTCAGTACAGAACTGGCCCGGTAGCTCATGAGGGAGTTCATGGTGACCATCTCGAGGTCCAGCACGTACTCCCGGGGGCCCGTCACAGGCCGGGCGAGGACCAGCATGGCGCTGACATTGTTGATTTGCTGCAGGGTACAGTGGGTGGGGGGACATGTAGATTGCATCAACCTACATGCCAAGACCCTGCCCCAGCATCACCTCCCTGTCCCGTATCTTGAACCCACAAGCAGTTGGCTGTGAAGTGGAGAGCCCACCAGGCTGTGACCTCAGGCTCTCATCCGGCTCTGTGATACCCTTGACATGTTGGCTCTGGTGCACCCAGGCTCCTGCCCTCAGAAATGTCCCACTGGTGCTCTTCCCACCCTTTCCACCTAGTTCTTTTGTCTAACCAGGGTCAACTGATGATTCAAGGCCAGGTGGGAGACTCTTGGGAGTGGTGGGGCCTTTGGTGACCTGGAGCAGGCAGACTTCCCTTCAGAGCATCCAATTTCAGAAAGAGAAAACAAGGACTGATATCAGATAAACCCCTTGGATCCCTCTCCTTGTGAATCATGCCTGGATCCCTCCTTCCTAATAGCTCCACCAGCAGAGAGCTGGATTCTTGGACCCCAGGCCCCCCGCCCCAACCCCTGCTGCCTCTCTCTCCAAGGCCCAGCTCCATCTGCTTGCCTTCCCCAGATTCTGCTGTGTCTGTTACCTGGGCGGGCCTCTCATGCCAGTGCCTTGTTCTAAGGGTGAAGAAATTGAGGCCACATATGGAAACCAGTGCAGGGACTCAAACCCCAGTGTCCAAGTGCCTGGTTAGAATTGCATTTAACAACCTGTAGTTTGTACCGAGGGAATTTAGAATACCCCTACCTTTCTACAGAAATTCCACCTCCCGGGGGGCGGGGCTTTGAGAGAAGAGGCGGGACATGGTGGTAGAGCCGAGTCTCCCACTTAAGGTTTCCTGGAATTCAATTTTGGATTACGCATGTCAGTTGAGGGGTGCAGTTAGGGGAAAGCCTTACCCTAATGTAGAAGTCCCCCTGCGAGTTTCCCGCACGGATCTGAAAGGCATTGTAGGCGCCAGGGTAGACAGAGGTCGCTTGGATCTGGAACACATCCGCGGGCACACTCCTCTCCGAGGTGATGCTCATGTAGCGGTGCACGATGGACGAGGGCTGCTCCCGGCACAGGGGGTTGGAGGCCGGGCAGAGGCAGCGACTAGAGACCCCGAAATGGGGACACGAATGAGGTCCTGGCCCACACCCCAAATTTGATCCCACCCCTAAAAATAGGGATCCCCCAAAGATCCTCCCACTCCTGCTAGAACAGTTCGCATGGTTGTCATGAAGGACTACAATTCCCATAGGCCCTCGAGGCACTAGCCTGCCCGAATGGCAGCCCGTCAGCCGCGGAGCCCTCTGGGAGTCGCAGGTTCTGCAGGGGGGCGTCTGGCGTCGCGACGACTCACTTGTCAGACACCTGGACGTAGGGCTCCACGCAGCGGTTGGTGTCCACGCAGCGGTAGCCCCCGTGGAAGTTGACACAGGTTTGGGCCTCAGAGCACTGGTGCGCGCCCGATTCACACTCATCAATGTCTGTGTCAGGGGAAAGGGGCTGGAACCCAGACATCAGGCCACCAGCCCCTGATACCACCCTACGCGCCCCACTGGGGCCCCCTGTACCTTGGCAGAGGCGCGTGGCCAGCAGCTGGTAGCCCTGCGGGCAGTGGCAGGAGAAGCGGCCAGGCTCGTTGACACAGCGGTACTGGCAGAGATAACTGGAGTAGCTGCACTCGTCGATATCTGAGGGAGAGTGTGGATGAGGGCTCTGGACCGAAGGCGATCCTCTCAATTCAGTCCCATAAAGGTTTACAGAGAGAGCCCGGCCCTATGTTAGGCTCAGTATGGAAAGACAGAGCAGGGTGAGACAAACCCTGCAAAGCTCAGTGAGGGATCAGAGGACTCAAAGAAAGGTCTGCCCAGACCGCCCAGCTCCCAGATCTCTCTGCCCCAGCACAGCAAGACAATACTGAATGGAAGCACTGTGAATCCAGAGGCTTGGCTTTAAGTCCTGAGTTTGGGGAACCTCAATGTCCCTGTCAATAAAATGAGTGGGTTAGACTAGATGAGCCTTGAGGACCCAGCCTGTTACGGTTTCCAGTAACTTGCCCAATTCCTGCAACCCACAACCAGCCTAAGCATACAGCCCCCTCCTGCCAACTGCGTGCTCACAGGCAGGAGCCACGGTTTCTGCTCTGGATCCCTTCATGCTGCCTAGCACCGAGCCGGGTACCAGTGGGGCCGTAGAGCAGCAAAGCCTAACATAGACAGGGTACCTGCCCAGCTGACAAGGAGTGAGAAGTGCAGAGTGGAACCCTGGTGCCACCTCACCCTAGCTGTATGACCTTGGGCAAGTCACTTAACCTCTCTTCGTCGAAGGACTTTATGATTACTATTTCTTTTAACAATCCTCCCCCCAAAACCTCGAGGGAGACATTACCATCCTCATTTTGCAGAGGAAGGAAAAATTCATACTTTCATCATAGGATTGCTGGCAGAATTAAACGAGGCCAAGTATGTAAGGGAAATGTGCTGCACAGAGGTTTTCAACAAATGGTAGTTCACTTTAAAACGTTGTGGCTTGGGACTTGATAAAGCTTGTCTTGTTCTGTCCCACTTCATCCTCAAGACAACCCACTTTTCAGAAGTAGAAATGGGCTCAAAAGAGTGGCGGGCCCTAGTCTAGGATTTGAATGCAGGTCCACCTGACTCCCAAAGAGGGGAGCACCCACATCCTTTGCCATTCTCCCCTCTGAGCTTCAGTGCTCCTTCCTGCTTCCCTCTGTGCCTTCCTCCCAACCCCACCCCAGGCTGGGAGTTCTGGTGGGCAGGTGTGCAGGTGCCCTGCAATCAGCCAGGGGTGGAATACAGAGGAGGTAGGTGGGTGCAGAATGGATGGGACACGGAGGCATCAAATGGAGGACTGTGTGGCAGGAAACACAGCATGACACAGGGCCTCGGAGGCCCGTGGAGGAGCCCGGGGGGGGGGGCTCTCACCATTGCAGGAGAAGCCATCTCGATGTAGCTCATAGCCCTGGTGGCAGCGACACAGGAAGGTCCCGTAGGAATTGAAGCAGCGCTGCTCACATGGAGCCCCCATGTCACATTCGTTCACATCTGGCGATTCAGGGAAGAAAAAAAACCAGGAGGGGTGGAAAGCCAAGGAGCCGCCCAGAGCGCCCACTTTCCCTAGGCTGGTCAGAAAGCAAGCTCCGGCGCCCCGCCCCGCCCTGCCCGGGGCCCAGGAGCCTGGCCTGGCCCAGCCTCACCTACGCAGGAGCGGTTGTTGGGCCCCAGCTGGAAGCCTGGCTCGCACTGGCAGCGAAAGGAGCCAGGCAGGTTGACGCAGCGGTGCTGGCAGTAACGGTAACGGCACTCATCTATATCTGGGAGGGAGGCCGGGGGGAAGGGGCAGAGTGCACGGGTCAGCAGGCACGCAAGGCCTCACCGCCCACAGTCTCGCCCAGGTCTGGAGGGCTGAGTTGGGCCAGGTCAGCCAGGAGGCACACACAGACCCTCACAGTCCTGTGACCGGTGACAGGAAGGCAGAGGTGGCAGGGAACGAGGGTCGAGCCTGGCGGTGAGCTGGCATGGGGGGTCAGGTGCTAGGGTGAGAGCCAGGCCAAGGGCACGGAGCAAGGACAGAGAGGCTCTTCCCCGGACTCACCCACACATTCAGGCCCAATCTTGCGGTAGCCGTCGGGGCAGGTGCACTGGTAGGAGCCGGGCAGGTTATGACACTCCTGGCTGGGGCGGCAGTCGTGCAAGGCCTGGGCACACTCGTCCACGTCTGCAGGAGACACCACTGAGCCCCCGTCCGGGAGCCCACGCACCACCCAACGTGACAGACACCTCCACACGGAAGGACACAGGTCAGGTGCCACTCACGTGGGTGTGTGGATAATTGGCAACCCCGAGAAAGAAGCACATGGATTAGACCCTCCCGACAGCACAAATAACAGTCCATCAGCCTGGGAGCCAACAGGAGAGGCACCCCTAAGCGCACAGGAAATAAGGCCCTGCCCAGACTCCCAGGAATGCTGATTCCAGGGCCTT